ATATCCTCGCAAAAAAGTCTGGTGACGTTAAATTTGGAGAACGTGCAAGCCAGTGTATGAGACCACCTCTACTGTAGTATAAGAAAGAATCCTGTGCTATTTATCGACATATGGTACTAGTTGACCGTCTGCGAAATAATTAGTCGCAATTCAGCATTGGCGACTAATAAGGTTTTTGTTGTTTTCCATTTTATTTGACCTTTCATTTTTTATTTCAAACATCATTCTGTGAATTTCTAATGATATTACATAATTCAAAATAGAAATTCTTTCACAGTATTTCATTCCTCGTCCTAAGTTGGAGCGAACAACAAAATTGTCACTCCACCTCGTGGACGAGGGACTAACCAACTGCATATCCGAAATTTGTCCGATTCCTCTGAAGTCTGCTCATACCAAAATTGAAGGTCGACTCTTTCAGTTGTATTGCCAATTGCATATGCAGGAAATTTTCTGTGAAGATTCCTGCATTGACGCCTATCGGATATAATCCAACGCCGTTCGTGGTATTAGCCACGGGAGTAGTTGTTTTATGATAGGCGTCAGGCCATTTAACCTACTGTGTAGGTATATTCGAGACTGGCTAGAACATTTAAAGATCATTTCTTTAGATTTACCGAAGAATAGTGTTTGACCATATCTGGAAAGTTTTACCTGCAGTATGATGGTTATTGACCTCGATGGGTACTTAATCCTCGAATAGGTACCTACCATTCTCATTTCCACTTGTAGTTGAAAACTTGATATTTATGCTGAACACATTTCATCGGCATTTTAACCGCCGGGAATTTCCCAACATTTAAATACTTAACAAAAATATCAAATATCAAACTCTCATTAGATAAATTGACTCTTCATGAATCTCACAAAGAAGTAACCTTGATTTCTTTAGAATTTTAGTTTGGTTGGAAAGTTTACGGGCCCTGAACTCAAAAACAATTTTGATTCTTGATGGCATTGGCTTACGAGAGTAAAAAAATTATATATTTAACTCTCATCTCTCACCTCTCTCTATATTTTCCATATTTTCATAACCTGCATTTATTAAAATCCTAAAAACCATCAAATATCTCATTGTTTCAAGGTTTGTCCTCTCCCAAAATAAAATGCTGTTTACAACATTTTCATATTATTTTCAAAATAATAAAAGTATATCGATTCCCAGTATAACTTTCCCAAAATTGTCATAATTGTGGTAGAGAAGCTTTTCATACATTTTATGTTCAATATTTCTTCACCTGTAGTGCCTATCCTACTCATTGATTCTTAATATATACAGGGTGAGTCAGAATAAGACCGACAAACTCCGACTACAGATTCCTCGCCTCATTTTGAGATGAAAAGTTTCTATCAAGGTAGGTATGTTCTAAAATGCATCCCCTCTGAGATACAGGGTGTCAAAAGTACGAAAAAAATTTAGATTTATTGTTTTTCTCTAAAACTCCTGGAGGAAAAATTTTCAAAATTGGTGCACTAATCAAAGTTTATCAACGTGATCATTTGAAGTTGTGATTTTTTATTTTCGTAAACCAGTGGCGTAGTTACGATGGTATGTGGTCATATTTTTCCTCATATTTTCTTTGGACGACTGAATTGACAAATGAGCATTTGACATCAGTTAGAGGTTCATCGATACTCAAGCTAAAAGTCATATTGCGAAAAACTGAAGATATGTCCTGAGAAGAGACATAACATCCTGTGTGCAAAAATCGCATGAACTTTCTAATAACAATTGTCAACCTCCTGAACATTTTTTAATGTTGGGAGTATTTATAACATAGTAGAATGAGACCGACAAACTCCGTTTTTTTATTCATCATATTATTTGAACGAATCGATTTCTAAAATTCACCGATATGTGACCATATATTTTTGCATGATGATTATTTTGAAACATCAACCGACAAACCAAGCCTCAAATTTTAATACTCCTGTTAGATATCAGTTAAAAACTAAAATAATATTTGCGAAAAACTGAAAATAAATACTTTTGATTTGTTAAATTTTATTTTGGAATGTCATTATCAAAGTCATTTCACACTGAATTATCTACAAAAATATTTTCCAATCATCATGTTTTTGGTGAAGAAAAACAATTATTGTGTATTAATATCTACTCAAATGATAGAAACGGTTTATAGGGTAGGTACAATACATAGAAACAAAAAAGGCTCATATTAGTATGTCGTTATATATTAAAGAATTACATCAATCAAGTATTACTTTAAAATCAAGAAGAAGAAAACGAATTCATATGAATATAAAACTAATCACTAATAGATGTATTAAATTAGTTTGTGTTCAAACATTGTTACTGTCCTTGCATTTTTTTATCATTTGTATAAGTATATTATAGGAATCTAAACCTTTGGAGAACAGAGAATTCATGACCCTTTTCAGATTTGTTCTATTTATATGTAAATTTACACTATTTCTATAGTGTAATAATTGTTGATGCTATGATTTAAAATAACAAATTCATTAAAATATTCAGGTTGACCTTCCTGTGTTATCTTGAATATGAATGTCATCTAATATATAAAAATGGATGTTTGTTGGTTGGTTGGTAAGTGATAAACTTCTACATCGCTCAACCGATCGTGATGAAACGTGACATGAATAAGTTATTTTTCATAGAGAAGGTTTTTAGGC